ACACACAGCGTGATCAGTGCACACCTGGGCGACTCCTGAGCGCGCGGCAATGGTGCACGATTGCCACGCGGTGGAGTGTTGCCTAGGTGTGCCCTTATTTCTCTAGCCCTAGACTTTACAAGCAGTTAACCCTTGCAGTGTGTGTGGGGGGGGGGGTAGTTTTTTTGTAATTCCTGGAGTTCAGCTTCATGCAAGAACTTGCAGATGTAACATGAAAAAGCCGCACACTTCCACTTTTATAAAAGTAATGGTAATTAAAAATACACATTAAAGTGAAGTTAAAACACATACAGAGGGAGGAGCTGATTGATTGCTGAAGGGGCAGCAAAGAAAATTCTTCATATGGAAGATGGGATGTGATCGTTGTACTTTGCTTGCTTTGTATTTACTGTACTTGCATTGGTTATTTGATTTTTCCAACTTTGTTAAATGTGATTTAGCTTATTGAGTCACTTTGCTGCCTTTTCTAATACAGTATAAAGACAATTGCTCATTTGTGCTCTAGGCTTTACATAAAACAATGCATCACCTGTCAAATAACTAACTTTTCTTGAAAGAAGCTGTGTAAATTACAATGTGACACAATGTTGTAATCGTTCACGCACTGAACAAAATGAGCACCATGATTAGACAGATTACCTTTTACTGTAATGATGGGCTGAACAGGACATAATAATGTGGCAGGACAGGTTTCTTGGAATTATTATAAGGTGTGGGCGTGTTCTTTTAAATGTTTGCCCTGTTTAGGCTAATACTCAAAATAATGCAGATGGCTTAAAACAAGTCATTAACATTCAAATATGTTTTACCTTGAACTCAATTCTAATTGGTATTCGTGTTCAATCAATGTTAATGAACCACGCAGATATCAGAAAATAAAATATTATTATTAAAGTGTACATGAACTATTTTTTAGTTAGGGATAGAGTGGGGAAGGGTTTTCTTTATCGCTGTCTTAGTCTCTACTGGAGAGATTCATCCTATTGCTTCTTCTGGCCACAGTCTCTGGTACTGAAATAATTAGGCAATCCAACATTTTTGTGGTGCCAAACTAACAGGAAGTGAGGGGAAATCTTTCAATAGAAAAACCTGTTGGCAGCTTTCCAAGAGGGGTTATCTCCTCACAGTTCTGCCCTGTCTCCGGGACAGAAAGTGAAGAAAAATGTATCTAGTAGGACATAGACAGCAATTAAAAAAACCTGAAAAGGAGTCTTAAACTGGCCAAACACCTCTACAGTTTCTCTTGTCCATCCCCATAGGCTGAATAAGATATTAATTATTTCCCCCATACCCGTTAAATGGTATGAATGAAGGAATTCGACTATTGTATTAATCAGCTGTCTGGACCTCCAGCCGTCTCAATACAGAAACAGTTACTGCCTCTGATAGAATGGGGTCACTGTTCAGCTGACAACTTTCCATCAAGGTCTTTTGACAGAAGTTAATTGAAAAATCAACTTCTGTTGACTCGGGTGATGCTGAGTGAGCCACCCACAACGTATGGGCAGCTTTACCATTCCCCACTCTATAAAAAAAAAAGTCTGGTTTTACATACACTTATGGCTTCACCTATAAAACTGCCGCCAGGCTATACGCCAGCAGATGCCATTCACACCCCATTAACACCCCTAGATGGTGCTGATGAGAACTGGGGTGCTAATAAAATGTTATCAATGAAGCCCTGAAAGTAAAACTCACAAAGCAACCACCGCTCATATTCCTTGTCCTGCGGTCACACAGCCTCATCCCTCTGGTCGGTGAAGGCAAAAAAAAGGCACGCTGCAGCTTGATACTGCTTCTCACAGAGACAATTGCCGCACAAACGACTGGTATCAATCACAAGCTGGATACTGTTTATTCCCAAAGTCAAAACATGGTGTAAACAAACACAGGCTCCTCCAACTCTAATATGTTTCACCAAAGGGCTAATTCATAGAGATAGAGAGATGAAGAGAGATTCAAAGACAACATTTAAACAGTTCCATTTCCCCTAGTCACATATTGTATGAAACTATTGAAGAGCCTCCTCTCCCTGTCTCTTGTTAACCTCCTCTCTACCAATGCACGCAAATGCATGTAAATAAACAAACAATCACCCTCTATCCAGTCTTCCTTAGTCCACACATGGTGGTCCCATGGTTTTTTTTTGAAAGAAGAAAGGAAAGATGGAAAAGGGGAAAATGGGAAAATGGACCAAAAGGGGAGGAGGATAAATAAAAAAACAATTTGTATTAAGCAAAACCATAAATGTAAAAGCATAAAAGTTAGCATGACTATAAATTAAACCAGATATAATAAACTCCAAAAATACAAACACGTATTGTAATGTAGAGGAGTACACATGCTTACTAATATACAGATCCACCAAAGAACTACACCTGATGGGTAATCACTATTCACTATTCATAAAAATATGTAACATTCCATTCATAGTTCATACCATCGGGTATACCTGTCTTCAATGTAAAAATCCAAAACACTTCATGTTTTGACAATAGGGAAAACCTAACTCCCTCTCTGGAAAGTGTATGTACTGTTTCAATAATCTGAATCCTCAAAGAATCAATGTTACTATTATGGGTCTCACAAAAGTGCTTCGAAACATTAGTAATTTTCTTAGTCCTAAGGTTGGACAAGCGATCTCTAGTGCGGTCACATAATCTTCTTGTACTTTTGCCTACATACTATTTGCGGCAAACACAGGTGATCATGTAAATCACAAACCTGGTTTGACAATTGAGCAATTGTTTAATGTGATATGATGTGCCAGAGACACAGGATACTATTGTATGAGGATCACATAGCAGATCACAGCTCGAACAGCGGGAAGCATTACATTTCTACATAGTTGCATCCATCCCTATTATGAGATTTTAATAAGCTAGGTGACAGAATGTTATCCAGGATGCGTGCTCATCTAGCAATAAATTAAATTCCTCCCTGTAATATGCTCCTCATATCATCTCCATGCAAAATGGGTGTGTATATTTTAATAATTGTCCTCATACTGGCAACTATATTGAGTGGAGAAAACAGGTGTATCTCTAGCTTGTTTCATCATGTTGTTGTAATGTTTTAAAAGTTCTAATCTGTCAATTTTTATCACATCATCATAAGTCCGTCTCATCAAGTAATGGGAGTACCCACGTCGTAAAAACCGATTCTGTAGTTCAAGGGATTCTCTCTCAATGTTCCTCTGTTTTGGAACAATTCTGTTTGAGACGAATGTATTGTCCCTTAGGTAATCTCATGAGATCTCAGGGAAAGGCATTTTCCTCCCCTGAGATGATGTGCATAGTCACATGTCCTAGTCACATGTCTGGTCACATGTGCCAGAAATCCAGGAAGTAAAAGGAGAGCTAGTAATCTTTCCTTAGTAAACATGGCAACTGTCAGAAAATTGGGGAAGAAAAGAGAAAAAAAGGTATGCAAAGAATGCAAAACCTGCTATTATCTACAAGTATGTGTTTGTAGATTGTCATTACTAAACATTTCTAAATGTGTGTTTGTTGTTATGCTAAAGATATAGGTAAAGGTCCTCTTTAAGAGAGCATTTTTTGGTGTAGGTTTTCTGTATGGTTCAACCCATACGTTGCCATCTTCACTCGAACCGATCAGTGTAAGATCCAGATAATTGATGTTATTATCTTTTCCTTCCCACGTAAATCTTAGATAGTAATAATTGGAATTGAGATATTGGGGGAACTCCTCCAGATCCAAAGACTGATCGTTAATGAAGATTAGATCATCTATATAACGTGCGTAAAAGTTTCTTTGTTGATGAAATGGATTTCCATCTCCATAGATGTGGTGCTCCTCCCACCAACCCATGAACAAGCTGGCGTATGCGAGCGCGAACCTCCAAGTGCCAAGTCTCTGGAGGTAGAATTGATGGTTAAACATAAAATAATTATGTGTCAACAAAAAAAGATGACTTCTACTGCAAAATTCTTCAATTCCATGGAGAAATCTGGGTAATGATCAAAATAAAATTATTTTGCCTCCTAAATTCCTAAATTGTGTGGTATAGAAGTGAGGCAACATCACATACAACCCATCTGTAGTTAATGCTCCACTTCAGTCCCTCCATGCATTGAATGACATGTTTAGTGTCACGCAAGTTTTGACTTCGGGAATAAACATTATCCAGTCATGTGTGTGTTTCTGTGAGAAGCCCTTAAAGTAGTGTGGCAGTGTAAGCCAATGCCAAGATGTAATTTGGCAACACAGTCCCCAAGAACACTCAGTTAGAGGGGCATCATGTGAATACCTTGGCAGAGGAGGAACTGGCTTTTCAGTTCCTTCCTGGTTTTCCGGACTATAGTGGAATGGAATCTCTAGTCCCGGGCCAGGTGTTGCCAATGACCAGTCGGGGGTGATCAGGTGGCTGAGAGCAGCCTCATTAAGAAGCCAGCCCAGAGTTCAGAGTTGGAGTTGTGTTGGAGTTGTGTGCGTGCAGGAAGCACACGGACACATGCAGACTCAGGTGCGTGCTGGACGCACGTGGAACAGCTGGGGGAGGCTGGGAGAGGTCAGGAAGGTCGGTGACTCAAGGGACCTGTTGGATACACTGCTGGGAGAGCAGTGTGAGTGCCCACGAGGGGAGAGGTCAGGAAGGTCGGTGACCCAAGGGACCTGTTGGACGCACTGCTGGGAGAGCAGTATGAGTATCACACAGAGGTGTGCTAAGAGGCTTGGAGCTGAATTAAGCTGAGCAATACTAAGGACTGTATATGCTACAAAGGACTATCATCTATGTTGCTGCTGGAAGCTGTCTTGTGTAACAGGGGAGGTCTACCCTGTTGATGGAAAGAGACTTTTTGTGTTTGCCCTTAATAAACTGCGTTTTACTTGCATTTCCTGACTACAGTGGAGAATCCTTGTTACAGTAGTTACTAAGTTAAAAGGCAGATATTTCCAGAGAATAAAACAAATGGAAACCTGACATCCATCCACAAAAGGTATATTGGAACAAAACAAATGTATATATTTTATGGTACCTGATTCACTTCCAATCAAAGGTTGGTTTGCAAAATGTTGAATAAATTCTTTTACAGATGAGAATTCATTGAATCCAAACTTAATACTTGTTCCACATTGGTGGACTTGAAAGTGTTTCACTGAGTCCTTGGCCCTTGAAAAAGAGATATATTTGACATATTATTAGTAGTAGTCATGTTAGTCATTATCATAATTAAAACGTAAGATAAAAAATACTGTGGCCAGCAACATATTCCTTCCTTCTAGAACAAGGTTAATATAATGCTAAATTCAGGACTTATACCTTACAAATAAATTCAAGAACCTTAACTATTATCAAAAATGTATCTTATTTGTGTATCACTCAGCTGTAGATCATCAAATCATCTCTGAATTGGTGCTGACACTGTCCTTCCTTCTGGAGGGTGGCTACTTTTGTTCCCATGGTCCCTGTGTGTGTTGTAAAGTAGCCACCACTCCAAGCTCGCTGCTGTGATGGACTACAATCTCAACACAAATGAGTAAACTAAACGTCAGATTGTGGTCCATCACAGGAGCGAGCTTGGACCGGTGGCTACTTTACAACACACACGGACCATGGGGAACAAAAGTTGCCACCCTCCAAAAGGAAGGACAGCGTCAGCAACAAATTCAGAGATGATTTGAGCATCTACAGCTGAGTGATACACAAATAAGATACATTTCTGATAATAGTTAAGGTACTTGAATGCATTTTTAAGATTTAACTTTTGAGTTTAGTGTCACTTTAAACAAACCTAGTAAACAGTAAAATGCTAGTCTGGTTCCTTGTGAAGCAAAAGCATTGCGTATGGATAGGAACACAGGCTTAACTGGTTAAATGGCAATTCTAAGTGGTAGCCATAGACCATTACTGTTTAATCTTGAAAAAATCCAATCTTTATATAAAAGTCATTTGTTAGCAAGGTTTTCATTGAACAAATTCAGTCAAAGTTAGCAAAAAGTTTTTGAAAGAAATGTCAAACTTGTCAATAACATGTACATTAAGTTCTTCAAAGATGTTTTCCTGAGTCAAATAAAATTGGGTCTGTCCTCCGTACCCCAGGTCCCCTTACTCTAAATACCCGATATGCTTGTAAACAACTGTAGGGTTTCCCCCAGGGCTTAGGTTTTTATAAGACAAGTAACCCCTTTAGGAACCATCCACACATGTGCTTGAAAGCAGCACAATTCAATGCACATAAGTGCACATGAAACCACCAGTTTAAAAAAATGAGAAATATTTTAACTGCAACCTGTATGTTTTACAGAACGGAGCTACGTGAGTATTTCAAGCATACACAGGTTCCCAGGCAACTTTTTAAAAGCTATTCACTGGACCTGACCAGTTTATAGAGGATCACTATATAAACACAGAGATCATGCTAGTATAGAATTATTTAAAGCCCTTTCTTACCTTATGATTTTCAGAATGGTGCAGCTACTGCTTTAATTTGTTAAGTTAAACAACAGAAATACTGCTGTAAGAGGAAGTATTGTAAATACCGCTTGTTTGTCACCGAAATAACCACACATTGCACTGTTTAACTAATGGATATGTGCTTGGGTGATCAGGCACAACATGAAACTTGTTACTTTTAGCACCCTTTTTTTTCCATGGTTTTTTTTGCTCTGGCCTCAGCTGTACATTTGTTACAAGGACAACAAAGTTTCAAGGATTCAACAACACAAAGATACTATGAAATAAAATTCAGAGATTAGCCTGTGACCTACAAACATAAAAAAAGAAGTGTTTAGGGAGGAAGAGATGTGTTTAAAGTGGACCTTTTACCCTTTTTACTAAAAACCACATCCGCATGCAAAGATGGCATGCCCCTAGAACATCCCAGAGATGTGGTCTATCACTGGCTTGTAAAAGTGAATGGGATGATTCTTTTGCATCCAACAGACTAGCCAATCAGGAGGCTTACAGGTGGAAAGAAAAACATATAAAGGGCTAATCACAAGTGTAAAGCTGCTCACACTCCTTACAATTTATCTGCAGATTTTCTGTGGTCAGATGGAAAAGGTGCAACAGATTCCTCCATCTACGCTAAACTGTGTGGATGGAGTAATCTCCACCTGGGCCAATCTGTTGCACTTTTTCCATCTGACCACAGAAAATCTGCAGATAAATTGTAAGGTGTGTGGGCACCTTTAGGCCCTTTTCAGACGAGTGGTCCAATTAGGTTCGCCTGTCAGTTTTTCAGCCAGACCTGATCGGACGCTCTATGCAAGTCTATAGGCAGCTGGTTTTAAACGGACGAGCCGTTTACCCCCGGTTGGCCCCAGCTCCATCCGGTAAAACAGATGGATCATTGATCCGTTTCGACTGACCTGATCGTGCTGGACCGGAGGAAATCTGATGAAAACGGATACAATGTCCATTTACATCAGATTCCCCATAGGGGCCTGGCACTTTGTTTTTTTCTCCATCGCAATATGAAGAAAAAAACTGTACGGACATGTATGTCACAGTGGTTACATCTGTTCTGTACCGCTCTGATCAGGAGAAGATCTGTTAAAGGATCCTCCCCTGATCGGCCCCTGTGACAGGGGCCTAAATGATTCATTGTGCAGCAACGGTCCCAATTATCTTTTCTTCTGCTGCAAAGTCAAATGTAGGCCCCTCAATTAGCAAAAGGCCCACGTGCAGGGGAGTCTGTTGAGCACTGACACATCAGTCTGGTCTGCTCATGCTATATAATGGACAGTTGATGAACAAGCTATAGTTAACATTTTCAGCATTTCTTGTGCGTGAGCCTCAGGTTATTCCATACAGAAAAGATGATTTGCAGGAGATGGGAACTAAAGCCAGCTAAAAAACCACAGGTTACAAATAGGTTATGCCTGTCTTTTAAGGAGAAAGATGATTCTCCAAGGCAGTGTCAGGAGAGATCAGGAAAAATTCTCATTTGAAAAAGAGAAGTAGTCAAAGGCAGGGGCAAGGTAAGATGAAACCCTAAATCCCAGATATTAGAAGCACAAAGGTCATAAATCTAGGGAAAGGCACAAAGAACAAGATCCCTTACATCTGCTAGAAGGTCATATTCATTCATAAGTTTCACTGAATTCAGAGCATATTTGGAGTGCATGCTAAGGAATGCTGAATTTAACAGGGAGCATTGCAGAGTGCTGGGTATAGCAGAATACATTTGTAGGAATGTTCAGAGTATTTCATAGTAAGTGGTGCTATGTGAATTTATGTATTCGTGTCCATGGGGGGGATCTGTAGTATGGTTCATGGTGCAGCATGTTTTGAGGTGTGCTAAGTGAATATTGCAGAGTTCTGAGCATATTGATTTGGATGCTGATGTTTGCCCAGTTTAACTAGGTGCTTTGGTGGTGGTGATTTGTTGAGTGTACTGGGATCCATGCTGAGTCTATTGGGGTATACTGTACAGTGTGAAGTACTCCAAGTAAAGGAGTAGATGCATTAAAGTGCTGAATTATAATGCAGTACACGCTGTGCTGTGTTTGGTGTAATTGAGTGCATATGGGCAACTATGTTATCATAATTCACCTATTCTTATTTTACAAAAGTTTTCAGAGAACATTTCAAAAGCTAAGCCATCTAGAGTATTTGTCAGAAAATGATTTTAAGCATCACAATAACAGTAATAAAATAGGTCTTGCAGTAAACCTCCTTGGTTTTAGCAAGCAAACAGACTGATACTAAGCAAGTTTTTCAACCAATATCAAAATGATTAAACGTCCAGGAGCTTCCATTATCCATAACAAACAGCAGAATAGTGCACTGTATGCTGAAACTCGAGGCACCAAATTCCTTGCCATATACAGACACCACTCATTAGTATTGTATTCTTTTAAGCATACATGTTTGCATCATACATGTACAGACATCAAAAGCTGACATTACATTCTCCAGGCACTTGAGACTAATATTTTACATCTACAAATACCATAGGCTGGCATTATATTTCTCCAAGCATTAGAATTATACAGTATATTTTACTAATGTGAGAACTGGCAATTATATGTTTACAGGTGAAAGATACTGGTATTAGCTTCTACTGCCGCCAAAGGATGACAATGGATTTGTTTGACACTTATCAAATGTTGGCTTTATATATTTACAGATGCTAGAGGCCTCAGCCATATATGTACTGACAGCAGAGACAGCTGCTACATTTTTAGTGACCTTTTTCCAAATTAGCGATAAATAACCGTTAGGTCCCATAGTCCATGTTTGCCTAAGACTCCACATATTCCTTAGTAGGCCATGACAGGGATTGTGTGCATGAAAAACCCAAGAAAACCCCAAAGAGGCAGTAAGTACCATTTATTCTTACTCGCTACCTCTTTCCCCATCTTGAGGGCTTGTTCACACCCAATACGGACCAGATCTGCATGAGTTTCTGCACATGCAGTGCAGTGTGTTTTGACGCATTTTTTATGCGTTCCAGGCCGCTAAAAAATATATATCCTAAAATGGGCTTTCAGTGCGTTCCAAGCCGCTTGCATGCGTTTTTGATGCATTTGCATGTGTTTTGGTGCGTTCCAGAGCAGAAAAAATAGGGCATGCTGCAGTTTTTCCACATGCTCTGGAACTGAACGCTCGTGTGTGAACTAGAGCCCAAAATACCATTGGAATGCATTGAACGCAGTTTTGATCCGTTCTATAACTGCTCTGCATCTGCTCCGCGCTTGGTGTGAACTAGCCCTAAGTGAAAATTTTCATTTGAATTAAATTAACCATTTTTATGGAATAAATTGAATACTTTAATGTATGCTATATATTCCATAAACATTTGACTAATTTAATTCAAATGGAAATCTGAACTTATTTCAAAATAACAGCAGCCTCATTGCTCCTATTAAATTTTCATAATTCCTCACATAACCTAAAATATTTTTAAAAACAATTGGAAAAGAGGTGGAGTGTAGGAGTAAATGGTAGTACCACTTTCCTATGGTCTTCTTGGGTGATTCATGCACAACATCCAATGGCCTACCAAGGAATATGTGGAGCCTCAGGCAAATGTGGACCAAGGGACATAAATGTTATGTACTGCTAAAATGGAAATTTCTCCATGTTAGAGAGTTGTCATAGAAACAAATGGCCCCACCAAAGGATTTTCCCTCATCTCTTGCTTTGGTTGACTACTCAAAAAATTGTGTTTTTTCCATCTATCTTTGACAATGGTCACCAGGACAAATAGAGGGGAGAATCTTTCTAATCCAAAACTTAAAAAAAGTTTTGTAAATGCTCACTCTTCCCTCTCAAATCGGCTAATCCAAGCATGATATCTTGAGGTAGTTAGTGGGGTTGGCTTCAATAAGATCTTCAGGTTTTTTTGTGTTATTAACCCTTGCAGCGGGGCTACCCATTGTGCTTGTTTAGGACAGACCAAAGTTATGGCTCTGTGTCACTTATTGCTCTAGCTTACTCCGTCTTCCATGTGCTTCTGTAGTATGGTAGTGGCTGCAGAACTGGCCAGGGGAAAGCCCAGTGATTGACGGTCATTGGAACCCAAGCACATGGTAATGTTACAGACTTTACTAAGCAAACGCAAGGTTCTAACTACAGTGCATGCCGAGTAAGAATGCGTCTTCATATTATACCTATTCAGCCTCCCTGAAGCTTATAAAGGTATTAAATGTACCTACCTTACTGACAGTGAGTACACATTGGCATTGGAGTCACTTTTCCTCAACAGATAACTGCCATCCTGCCCATTGGTAAGCAGAAGAGCTTCTGCTGAATGCCGGGTCAGATTCTCATGAAACCACCTAACAGGAGAAAAAAACCCAGTTCTTTTAGAAGTGTAAAAGAAAACGCATGCTCAGATATACATAATAAACAACCAGACATGTTACCCAAGTAAAAAGATGATGAGACACAGGCTGATAGTATTTAGGATGTTTGTAATTGTCTTTTCTTTGTTTGGGCTATTACACACAAGGAAGCTTTGTTGGTACATTGTGAAATATATTACCGCAATGTCTGCAGATTTCAACATGCTGATTAATCACATCTCCAAACAGAACAACATAGAATAAAACAGAAAATAATGTACATTATTAATTGAAACACAGGAACTCTAGTCATAAAATGAGGCATTGGAAACAATTTTTACTAGGGATGCACCGATACCGGTATTTCGGTACGAGTAACGATATTTTTTTTTCTGTACTCGCCTATACCGAAAACCGAGTACCAGAAGTCCCATTCAGGAAGCCAGGTGGCGTGTAATGACTCGCCACCTGGCTTCCTGATTAGTGGGGAAGCCGGGCAGCGTGTAAAGACTCGCCACCCGGCTTCCCGATTAGCAAGGAAGCCGTCCCCATGCTTCTCGTCACTATGTGATGAGAAAGCATGAAGCCGGCTTGCTGGCCAATCAAGTGACGAGGGAGCATGGAGCCAACTTCCTGGCCAATCGACTTCCCGGTCAATCAGGAAGCCGGGCAGTGTGTAATGACGCGCTGCCCGGCTTCCTGATACAGGCAGGACTCGCCCAAATACTCGGAATCGGCACGGATACTCATACTAGTATTGGTACTGGTGCATCCCTAATTTCTACCCTTTTAAAAGCTTCAACTCTCAAATTTCCTTTTCACTGTATACCAGTTTGAATAGAACCAGGACTCATCCATGTCAGGTTCTGATGGAACTTACCAACATGCCAGTCAATGGACTCTGTTGAAGTTGCATTAATTAAAACCTTTGCATGTTGACTGTTGAAGTTGTATTAGGAAATTATATTAGCACCGAATGCAATTTCATTTCCTAATTTAAATTTAAACATCAAAAACTCATGATATTCTATTTGGGAGACCACCCTGCTTAGATTCCCTAGAGCAGCATTTCTCATTTTTTTTCGGTCAAGGCACCCTTTAAAAGTATGGAAAATCTTGAGGCTCCCCAATCTAAAAAACGTAAATGTAATAAATATAACGTGACTTATCCTCGATGGGGTCTGGTATGGATTTGAACCCTCTTGCTGCCAAGGTGTTTTTTGCACATATGTTATAATCAACATTTTAGGCCTGAAAATTACTTGCAACCCCTTAGAGTTATATATTCCCTGAAAGCACAGACCCCGTAGAATAGAACAGTGGCAGTTATGTTATATAATATTAATGAAACTCTTTATCAAACACAAAATTTCAGAATTATTCCTTTCACTCTGGCGCACATGGAGATGTCTAAACACACAGTGTGTTCCCAGTCTTAGTCCGTAGGGTTCAATATTGAGTTGGCCCACCCTTTTCAGCTACAACAGCTTCAACTCTTCTGGGAAGGCATCCACAAGGTTTAGGAGTGTGTCTATGGAAATCTTTGACCATTCTTCCAGAAGCGCATTTGTGAGGTCAGGTACTGATGTTGGACAAGAAGGCCGGGCTTGCACTCTCAGCTCTAATTCATCCCAAAGGTGTTCTATCGGGTTAAGGTCAGGACTCTGTGCAGGCCAGTCAAGTTCCTTCACCCCAAACTCGCTCATCCATGTCTTTATGGACCTTGCTTTGTGCACTGGTGCGTACTCAAGTTGAAACAGGAAGGGGCCATCCCCAAACTGTTCCCACAAAGTTGGGAGCATAACATTTTTGAAAGTGTCTTGGTATGCTGATGCCTTAAGAATTCCCTTCACTGGAACTAAGGGGCCAAGCCCAACCCCTGAAAAACAACCCCACACCATAACCCCCCCCCCCCTCCGCCAAACATTTCACTGGGCACAATGCAGTCAGGCAAGTACCGTTCTCCTGGCAATCGCCAAACCCAGACACATCAATCGGATTACCAGGCAGAGAAGCGTGATTTGTCACTCTAGAGAACAGGAGACCACTTTTCTAGAGTACAGTGGCGGCATGCTTTACACTACTGCATCCGACACTTTGCATTGCACTTGGTGATTTAAGGCTTGGATGCAGCTGCTCGGCCATGGAATATCATTACATGAAGCTCTCTATGCACTGTTGTGCCAATCTGAAGGCCACACGAAGTTTGGAGGTCTGTAGCTATTGACTCTGCAGACAGTTGGCGACTTCTGCGTACTGTGCACTTCAGCATGCGCTGACCCTGCTCTGTCATTTTACGTGGCCTACCACTTTGTGGCTAAGTTGCTGTTGTTCCCAGTTGCTTCCACTTTGTTATAATACCACTAACAGTTGACCGGTGAATATTTAGTAGCAAGGAATTTACCGGAACACCTGAATCCAATGATTTGAAGGGGTGTCCCCATACTTTTAGTAATATAGTGTATATACAGTATATATACATTCACATAATAGAGGACATAAGTAGAGGAATTTTGATAGAAAATGAAAACATGCTAGGGAAGTGATCATGGAGGAATCAGATAGTTGCAACCCTTTGAGAAAGTTAGGTGACGAAACACGTCAAGTACGGGCTTACAACTACTGAGCTTGATTTACTTTGTTGCTTGTAAGTGCATTGTTTTTATTGAAATAAATATTTTACTGAGATACTGCACAATGGGAGCTCTTACCCTTTTATTTTGAGCTCCACAGTGTGAATTGTTGAAAGGAGGAGGAAAAGGAGATCACAAGTGGATCTAAGTATAGATCCTGTTGCTAGTAAAAAGGAGCTACCTGTGGAGGAATGAGCGGAGGGAGAGAGGAGAGAAAGTCAAAGCTATCTGAACGGGATACGTTTGAAAAGGAATGAAATAATATTGTGAGTTTTCTTTTGTTAGAAGCACATTATTAAAGGGATATCTGGTGAGTGCAATAGACTGCAAATAAGGAGCACGGTCACACATTTTGGATTAATGGTGCACTACTACTATACAGTAAAGAAAAAGCATGGTGTCACTTTGGTGATTGAAGGTTTTAAATACGTTTTACTCACTTATCTATCCATGTTAAGACTTTGGACTTTTTCCATAGAATTGATTACCAGACACGTCTTGGACTTGGTATAATGGTTGATGCACTCATCTGCACTTTTTACAACTGTGAATAAAGGGTTGGATGGATTTGAGGTTTGCTGTTGTATAGAAGGATTCCTGAATTTTTTGACTTTGCACTGATTGATACACAGTTGCTTTGGGCGTAGTGCAATACAGGTGCCAGCACTGTTTTGAACTAAATTGCACTTTATAAATAATTTTGACTGATTTCACGTAGTATTTATTTATTTATTTTTGCACATAATAGTGATTTAAGGCGTAGCGGAACACAGCTGATTTCATAGTATTGAGGAAGTGTTCACACTTTTGGGGTGTTTGCAGCTTGCTGCCATAGTGCCTTTGTTGACATATCCCAGCGCGTTTTTTCCGGTTTATATACAGTATTGCCTTAGGCACAATTCACAAAACTGACAAAAGTGATAGTTATAATGAGATTTAAAAATTACAGTCGGAATGCCTAAAATAAAGATTCATACCCTTGTGTTCAAGCAGAATGAAACCCTCCTTTCCTTCAAGGCCCGTTCACACCTACATGTATCATTAATTAAATGGTATTCTCGAATGCCTAGATTTTCCTTCAAACCCATTTTGATACCCTTGTAGATTTTCTGCAGCCATCTTTACAACATTCATAAGAAGATTATTGGTAGATTAGATCTAGCTGGTCACTCATAGGGCTGTGGGCACAGACACATCAGGGTAGAGCATGTTTACTTTGCTGGTCACTCATAGGACTGTGTGCACAGACACATCAGGGTAGAGCATGTTTACTTTGCTGGTCATTCATAGGGCCGTGTGCACAGACACATCAGGGTAGAGCATGTTTACTTTGCAAGGGAATTTTAGACTTAGCTCAGTGTAGCAGGTAAAGTTGTGCTGACTACAATCATCCAAGCACATCCAAGTAAAAATCTTGTTTGTTTTTTTTCATTTACCTTCATGAGATTGGGTTTTTTTGCAAAGTGATTTTTCTCCACATTTACTGAGCCAGGTCAAAATTTCTTTGGAAAGTGAACGTGCTCTACTCCTTTACTTAACTTATTTAATTAATCAGTACTTACACCAGTTACCAAAACTGATGATTTCACACATTTTCGTTATGTGACCATGCACAACTTACCTAATTTTTGTTTTCTTAAACCTTAAATAAATGTATGAGGCTCACATATCCTGAGCATCAACACTTTAAATATAGCTTATGATATTAAAGACAAGTACATCTGAGTTGGAAAACATCTGGTATCACAGTTTTAAAGGAAACAAAACCAGCTTTAACTATATGCAAGTTTCCCTTCCTCTTTTGTAGATTTCGGTTATTATTACTAACTTATTCAGCTATATAGACGAAGCCCATGGTTCTCAACTGGTGGGTCGCAAGCCTATGTTTAGTGGGTTAATGTGTGCCTTTCAATAGCTTGATGAGCCTCTCCATAGCACAGCACTGTCCGTTCTCGCACCAAGCAGCCATTTAAAATATTCTGCCCGGCGCCGAGTGTCAGGTTAAAGTGGGGTGGGCTGGGGGTATGGCCGCAAAGGTGCTCCATCCATACGTGCATTGCTTACAGCTATCTCGTGTGCCGTGTGGAGGTGCCTGGACTGGAGTGACGTCACATTCTGGCTCCCGCCACCTCTACACGACATACAAGGGAGCTTGAAAAAGCAATGCACATATGAATGGAGCTCTGTCACAGCACAGAAGCCCATACTGGACCACAGGCTGAGGATCCACTCTAGTTCTCGTAAGTCAAGTTTAAAAAAAAAAACTTTTTTTGGAGTTTGTATGTGTGTGTGAGAATATGTCTGTCAGTGTTTCTGAGGGCCTGTTCACACTAGTACAGTGCGGTAATCTTACAGACCCGT